CTCCATTTTGTATGCCTTTTACTTCTTTATCTTGCATTTTATTCTTGCTAGGAACTTCAGTATAATATTCATACCTTGTTTTTTAATGTATTATTTTTTTTTCTCCTCATATTCTTAGTTTGTTGAACAACTATTCTTGTCAAAAGGCTAATAGTCTTAAACAAGTTTATTTCTATAGACATTTTTTATTTGTTTTGTTGAACTCAGATATGATTTAATTAACTCACCATTGGTAAATGGCTAACAGATGAAACTCTCAGAAATTGTAGTTTTATGCTCATTTGAGTGTGTGTGTGTGTGTGTGTGTGTAGAAATGCTGTTGTGATAATAAATACCATTTTGCATTTACAAATTTTTCTGACCATCACGATGAATTGTGACCACTATGATGAATACTTGGTCTGATAATGTCAACATATATTTTGTGCTTTTAGTATAGTTATAGTGTAAATAAGTTTTATTTTATTTCAATAAAATCCACACTCTGCTATATCTTAAAAATGTTTCTTTTTTTCTTTGATCTGACATAATGGGTATGCATGAATAATAAGAATCATAGTAAAATGTCACGGTATGCAGATACATGTGATGCCTGAAACACTGTTGATTTTTAACTGTATCACTGGGATTTGTAGTGTCCTGGGCATCACTGTCAAGCACTGAGAGAGTCATCTGCAGTCTTTTGTAGCTCAAAATAGCCTTAGATAAATATATGCATGAGTGACCATGGCTATGTTCTAACAAAACTTTATTTGTGGTCACTGAAATATGAATTTGATGTGATTTTCACATGTCATGAAGCATTAGGCCTCTTTTATTTTTTTCAAACCATTGAAAAATGTAAACACTGTTCTTAGCTTGCAGACCATGGAAAGACAAGTAGCAGAGAGGATTTGGCCCATGGACTCTGGTTTGCTGACCCCTGCTTTAGCCCTGTAAAAAATCTAGAGAACAGAGAGAGGGGGCATAAATCTTTTATAAAAAGACATAAATCAGGCCGGGCGCGGTGGCTCAAGCCTGTAATCCCAGCACTTTGGGAGGCCTAGGAGGGTGGATCACGATGTCAGGAGATCGAGACCATCCTGGTCAGCACGGTGAAACCCCGTCTCTACTAAAAATACAAAAAATTAGCTGGGCATGGTGGCGCGTGCCTGTAATCCCAGCTACTCAGGAGGCTGAGGCAGGAGAATTGCCTGAAACCAGGAGGCGGAGATTGCGGTGAGCCGAGATCGCGCTATTGCACTCCAGCCCGGGTAGCAAGAGCGAAACTCCGTCCCAAAAAAAAAAAAAAAAAAAAAAAGACATAAATCTAGGTCTAGGCCACTGTCCTGCAATATGTTCTCAGAAAGGGCAAGTCTGTGTGTATATTTGTACAAGCACACATATAGATGAGTACATGTGTACATATTTAAGTGAAGGCAATTGTATGTATTTGTGTCTATGTGTGTGTATTAATATGGGCATATATATGAGTGTATGTATGTTTTTGTGCATATTTCTGTGTTTATGTGTGATTACAGATTCAAGAATAAATCATGTATTTTTTCTCATAAGATGTATATATAGATATTTGTCTGTTGATAATGTAGAGATGCCAATTTTAGCTGTATCTTGGCTTCAAGATCTAGTTCAAAATTATACTTTGTTATCCAATTACAAAAGAGTTGAGATATGTCTCTTTCAGTAACATTACTCCTTTTACCAGCTAACCAGAAATTGAATTGCTACATAACTACTCAGATAATTACACTGCATTTAGTGCCCAAATTTAAACATCCGTGCCACCGAGACATTTCTCCACTTTTTGGTCTTAACTTCATTTAAAATCTTGTATTAAAAGATATTGCTCTGCTTTGGAGTTACACAACTTAATTTCTCAGCAAGTTTAAGTTTTATTTTTCTTTTCTCATATGCTATTCAACCTTTTGAAGTGTTGGAGACATTATGGATGAAGGGGAAAATATCAACCAAACTTTTTTATGCAGTCTGTTTGACTCTACACGGAGGTGGGGTAGGGTGGACAGGATAGCACACATTTTCTTGCCAACTCCATATGTGAAATTCATGGGATACTCAGAAAATATTGTGAGCCTCAATGTACTCAGCTGGTAAGTTGGATTTTAAAAAATGGCTTGCAGAGAGACTATGGAAAGTATGGTGTGTGGTAATTGAAGAGGACGGTAGATTCCCAACACATTACACATCTCAAATGATGAGCACTCCAAGTAATATAACAAGGAGCAAAAGGCTATTATCAAACACTGTCTTAGAAAACAAGAGGGTTTCCTACTGCCTGTGGACAAAGAAGAATGAGACAACATAAAATATTGTTGGCTTTAAGATATTTAGAACTAATTTTATCATAAAATTTACTTCTATCCTACAAGTTTCCAGGAACCTTTGAAAGGAAAGAAAGCCTCGGGCAAAGGAACAGTCACTGGATCCATCATGTATAAATTCTTTCCCTAATTATACAATTTTCATTTTTTCCTTAATTATACAATTTCAATTTTTCATATTCCATGTATATGGGCTGGTATTTTGGAAAAAAAAACTTTCATTTGATGTTTTATTATATTGTTTCTAAGAAATACTCTAATGATTGCTTTTTACTTTTTTGAAATTATAGCACTTTAAAAATGTTGTACATCTAGCAGTACCTAACAAAATAGGAAATCGACTTGGTAAGTAGTGTATTACAACTTTCATTTGTTTTGCCTTGTCCAAATAGGACATTTATACCTATAATTAAATCTTAAAGAAACTCCTGTTTTCCAAACATACATATGTGTCTATTCTCTCCAATGATAGCAAAACATAATCAGCCTCTCACAAATTAAAACAAGAGTGAAATAAGTTTAGATAAGTAGAAATAAGTGAGATAAGTAGAACACAGGATGTAGAAACAGTATGTTAGTTATTTCATGGGAGATGCTTTTTAATCCAGCAGTTATGATGTTGGTGGGTTGTCTTTGAATGTACAATTTATGGCTACTAGAATTGTTTCTATGCTAAGATTACCAATAATGTGAGTCCTCAGTATCTGTGAAAAATAGATTCTGAATTGCAACTTAAGGTAGGTGTTTACTTATTTTCCTGTTTAGATCTGAAAGCTCATTCTGCTTTAGGTCAGGTGAGCAAAGCTAAATAAAGTTAATAAATGTTACCCTGTCCACCTAAATTTCTTAATTACCTGTGATTCTATGTACCTTGGTAGTATAAGAAGGTTACACAACTCCACATTTTTGAGTTTGAGAAGAAAAGAAGTGGAAGCAGGAGATCCAAACAATATCCATGCTAGATAACTCCTAAATTGATCAGTCATTTGGTATTTTGAGTAAACTGAGAGTAAACTGCTCTATTTAACTCCAGATTGGACCTTTGTAATCAGCCACCGTTTCAGAAACTTACATGACCCAATTACTGTGTCTCTGAGTCTCTTTGTAACCTCAGTCTGATTTGCAAAAGAATTGGAGATTACAACAAACATTAAATCAATATGTAAGCATTTAATTTATGTTTGAATACTTGATCTTAACTGAACCCAATTATGAGTTTTCTTTCTGTTTACAGATAAGGACATTTTTTCCTAAAACTGTTACATTTGATCATCTGTATAACATACATCTTTTCATCTCTATACTATGAAAACACCCATATGGATATGCATCAGTGCTTTTCAGGTGTCAAAATTTGTTGATAAATATATAGTTTATAAATAGCAAATAAGTTGCAAGTAACAAACTGTGACTATTAAAGTAATATAAAATTCAAATTTAAATACAAATGTATGTGTGACTAATAAAAAAAGCTGATAGCCCAGGGTTCAAAGTAAGAATGAACTAGTTCTATTAATGAAGTCATTTAACTTAGCTATATGACAATAAAAAGCAATAACTTACTGAAACTTATAACTATATTTAATTTCTTGATAAATCAGTCAACATCCTTTCTGCTGAAATTATCTCTATTCCCAACACATTATTGTTTCCAGTTCACATTATGCTCAGGAAGGATGGATTTTCATCACATAGAATGGTTTAATTTGGTTAATTGTGTTTCTTTCTCAGTATACCATCTGTTTGAATCAGGCTTAAGTTGAAGATATCTGAAACTACTCTGGCTATTTAAAGCAGAAAAGGATTTAATACAGGAATTAAGTTCATACAAATTTATTGGAAGGCCTGGATAACAGGCTCCAGTACCTCAGAAGTAACCTACCAGGAGAATTTCTACCTCTGTTGTAGTTAAGAATCTGAGGTACTGTCACTGCAATCACAGGCTCTACAAATATATTGCTTTAGGTATGCAATCAATAAATTAGAAAACTATGTACTGTTGACTCCAGAGCCACATTACATCTGTTATATTGGCACAGGCAAAAATGGATGCCTGGAGGTCTTTCAATATTCAGAAATTAATTATTGGACACTGGGATCTATGAAAATGCCATTGTAGAAAACTACAGGGCCTCTATGATTATGCTGACCATCAGAAATGGTAGACCTGTGGCTTTCAAATTAACCCTCTTTCAAATGTCACATTACTATATTTTACTGTCCAAACCTAAACCACATTCTGTGTTCCATCTGCAAAAGAAACTTAGAAATCTAGATCTTAACTTATCAGCCTCAGAAGTTTAGGAAAGCTTAGTAGACAGATTGTGGAGTGGACAGTGAGCCCAAATCCACCAGAACTCCCATTAGTCTTCTGTTTGTCAGTTTCCTGACCATTCATGCTTCTCTTCCTGTACATACGTTTCCAAACGATATTAGCTACAATAATCAATTTTCACCCAATCCAGTGTAACAATTCTCCCATACAAATGAAAACTACTTATACTGTTCCCCAGACAAAAGAAGCCAAACTTCTATTAGTCATAGATTCCTTCTCTGGATGATGTCACTTCTTCCAGTGCACTGCTTTTTTTTTTTTTTTTTTCTCTTTCCTCTCC